GGAAAGAGAGAAAATTACGAAAATACCGCGATATTAACTTTTTGTTGGAAAAAACATACGGTCTTCTAGAAAAAATCTACGGAATATATTTTTATTTCATGCATGAGAGACAAGCTACTAAATTGAACTTTATGCATTGTGCAAAGGGGGGAGGGAAAGGGATTCAGTCAATATCGCTTTTGCGTCTCATGGGTTCAAAAGGAGTGCATGTACGTAACACGCGATACATTTTCCATTGTCGTGAGAATTTCTACACGTTAGAATTTTCTGGCATTGGAAAACTCAATATAGCACATTCAATACGGTAATTCGGATATGAAACTGCGAACCATCATTCAGATTCGGTTAATGGCGAAAGAGATAACAAAATTCATTCGCGGCGCCTCTTTCACGTTTAAATTTAGATTTTTTTCATGTACCATTGGAATAAATATTTGGACAACTTCTCAGAAGATGTAATCAAGCTCAAGATTTTGACGTGGATTATGTAGATATGATTTGCTTTGAAGTAATAATTACTCAAGACAATTGAAATACACAATTTGTATTGAGAAAAATATGACATCCTTATATTAAATTAAAATTAGAATTTTTGTTTTTATAAAACATATATCATAAAAAATATTTATATATTCATTTTATTATATATTCATAATGTGATTACATATGATTGAATGATTTTTTCTCTTCACTCCCCTTTATTTGAAATTCTGGATAATTTAATACAAAAAAATAATAATCAGGTTTTATAAGAACAACAAAATATATCATAAACGTCGCGAGATGATAGATTAGCTTGAGAAAAAGTGAGAGAAACGTTCGAATCAATATACGATACAGCAGTAAAATGTAGACGAGCTTTTGTTAGACGTGAGCTAGAACCCTGGAGAGATTCGTACAACGAGCCAGATCGATATTTTCCATCTCTGTCACTATTGTAAAAAGAATTTGAAATAGTCAAGAGAAATAATACTTGGGCCCAGGACTTCTAAGATTTCTCGGAAATACAGGTCGGGCTCTATCTACCTTGCCTTTTGGACCAATTTTCTCCTTTGCCATCTCTAGCTATCATCCTCTTCTTCTCTGAAGCTTTCTCTTTCTCCTTTCTTCTTCTCTCATCTCGCTCATTACATATTTATTATATTGGGGGAGGGTATATAATTATTATCTAATATTGGTATTATAATTATTATAAAATAAGTACTAATGAAAGAATTTTTTTGATTGCAATTTTTTTTTTTTTGAGTAACTTCGTTGAACTTCTGGGATATTAAAAGGTGAATATAATGCGTTGTATACAACAGAATTTTATTGGACGTTATACGTTAACAATAAAGGCGACGCAAATGTAATCCTCTTAATATTACATAAATCTAGAGTTTATTACAAAATTAAACATCTCTAATGTGTTATCCTTTTCTTCATTAATCTTTCCAAATCTTTTAAATGCACTGCTTTATTATTTTAGCATTCTGCATACAGTGGTGTGTATCAAAAAGAAATGGCTGAAATCCGAAAAAAATCGTCACGTATATTTTCAATGTAAAAATATGTAATTCGTGCTCCTTGCTTCCTGTGTATATAACGGGGTATTTTACGTACGTCTAATACATTTTTTTTCCAAGAATTTTAATATCGTTATTTATACTTTTCACTTTGCACATCTCTTGTCAAATTATATAGTTCAACAAAAAATAACTTTTTTTTATGAAATACAAGAACAAGACTAGTTACTTTGCATAGTTTTTTAAATATGGTTCTGATTTATAAATTATTTTATCACGTCGATTTTGAAAAATTTGCATTTAAAGTTGCAAAAAATTTCTCCATAAGTTTTTGCATGTTTATATAAATTTACGCAAAAATTCAAACATTCCAATTCACAATTTTTCCGTAATATTTAACCATGAATTATGAATCATAGTCAAATTCCTCTTGAAAACATAAAGTTTAATGACATACTTTTGATTGCAATAAAACTTTTTCAACATGTCACATATCTATGTGATAAAATACATGAATATAACTCTTCTTTTGCAACTTTAAAATGCAAATTTCTCAAAGTTATGATATGATCGAGCAATTTGGAAACCGAAATCGTATTCAACGTCATGTCAAAAAAAACTGTGGAAAATGACTAGTATTCTTCCAATGTTTTTTTTTTTTTTTTTTGTTAAACAGTATTATCTCTTATTTGTCTTCGACGGGGATCTGTGTAAATATGTTACAAATGATCGACCACTATTATTGTGGAATTTAGGAAAATGATCATCTGGAACTTCATAAATGTTCCGTTAAATCTATACACATACTCTAACGCTTATTCGACTTTTATTATATGCGGTTTTACAGTTCTTGAACGCTTGGGATCACGATTCGCAATACTAATCGGTATCAACGTATGTATACAATGCGCTTTACAAACTATTCAATTCACCGAGCAACAGTTCATAGAGAGATGTCTCGAATATAAAAAGTGGTGAAAAATCGCTTTACACTCTCCTAGCATAAGTTATACACATATACGTCCATACAAGTTTAATTGCATATGTTAGATGGCTAGTTTCGAATAGGTGTATAAGTATGTCGTCATCGGCCGCACGCGTTTCGCGACTCTTAAATTAGTTTCAGACACTTTCTTTATGCTCTTTTATAGAGGGGGACTATTTTTATACATTTTACATTAACAAGATTGTGTGGAATATCTCGTGGAATTTACGAAAGCGTAGGATATATTAATTGACTAACAATTAATAATTCTGACCACAAAACCAACAAATAATTGTAAATATTGGAGAATTTAAATAATCATGTTAACCACAAAATTCCGGCGGGCAATGTGTTCCGATAAAGGGGATCAAATCGATACCATGATTACGAGAGCGGCCTTTTATAAGAGTGGCAGTATTATATGTACCAATATGTATATAATCGATTAAATTAAATGAGATTTTATTTTTCATAAATTGTGTGCAACCGTCACATAATATTTACATATTCGCAATGACGATAATAAACCATTAAATAATTAAATGCTGAATGAATATTTTATATGGTAATTGCATATCGAATTGCATATGAAAGAAATATCCTCATGTTCCATCACTTCATTCAAGTAATTTTCATACAATTTAAAAAACCTAATTGTCTCCGATGCAGTTACGTTTCGTCCGATTCATCCCATATTGCTGCAAAATACACACTCATCTCATACTTTAGAATTAGTCTTAATATTTTCAATGTAAGAGCAATAAAACATTGGGAAAGTATGCCTTTTTGTCAGATGGAACGATAGGATGGCAAACATATTTTTATATCTGTTTAAAAAAGAAAATGATTATCTTTTCAGTATTTGTTCGAAAAAATTGGGAGCCATTCGATCGTGCATGTACATTTTTAATAAGTGTAGAAACACATGATGTATAGAAAATTTCTCACATATGTGTTCGCATACATATTTCTTGATAAATTTAAAATAAATTTTTTCACAATGAAAGTTTGATGGATACTCACCTTTTTCATATTATTACAAATTTTGATAGTAAAAAAGTTCGAATTTTGAAATCTTGTTAAGATTGATTAACTTAAACTGAATTGTATTTTGGTAGAATTGTAATCTGAAAATCCTTGCAAAGTTTGATGTTAAATATCGAAGAGATGTAAAAAAGAAATTGTGCTAAATCAAATTTCCGCGATAAAATCGGCTTTAAATTGGTCAAAGAATTCGTAAATGAAAAAGGGTTCTCTGAGGTTCCTAGAGAAATCTGCGGCACCCGATATGTATATCAATGAACGGTGAATCTCGGAGACAAAACGACACGATTGAATCGTACGCGGAATACGCGCGTGCGGTAAAAAAAGCACAATTTAATAGAGGAAATGCTGAAACGAATGAAAAAAATATGATAAGCAAATCACATGGAAGTTCGAGTTTCGTTCTGTCTAATCTAACGTGCTTACGATATATAAACGATACAAATAATCATTAATCGCAATGATATAGGCGTTATCGAATCCCGTTACAACTTGTAATTTTATTACAGTGTATTATCGGGAGAGAACGTGTGCCTAATATACGCATTATTTTCGTGTAACTTACGCGTGTGTAAAATACTCGAACATTTCACAAATGATCGGCGATCGGTTGGTTTCTCAAACCAACACGGTGAAAGATATTATCGTAACTAATCACCCACGATCGATGAGAATGGTATTAATTAACGGTTGTAAAGATATATTATTTACAAGATCATGATTTTTCATCACTGAATTATGTCCGCGATCAGATGATGGCATTCGATTTATAATCGATCTGTGCACAAACAACACATAGCTTATTCTTGTAACTTACAAATTTACAAACGCATGTAGGAAGATATCTGGGAGTATTATATCAACAAAATTATATACTCCAACGCTTATTAATAATTATATGTATAACAATAATATAATAATATGGAACGGAGATAGATGGGGATTAATCATATTTGGCTGCGATATGTCTCATTTTTCTTTTTTTTTCTTTTTTCTTAATTCATTATTTAACAAGATTTTATTTATCGCCATGGCTCGCGCGTTATTCCAATAATTTGATCCCAGAACACATGTCGATAGTTTATATAAATATATATCGTATCAATAATATTTCGTATAAAGGTATTTATAAATTTACAATTACATCGCAATTTTTTTGCTTTTATTCCTTTTTGTTTTAATTTTTGCTGCATATTTTACCGAGTTCGACTGGCCGGTGCGAGAAAGAATGAGAACGAACAATTTACCGATCTTTGCTTCAAATGTTCGAACGTGTGTAAACAAAGTGAGCTAATTCCATCCGAGAAAGTCTTCAATTTTGCAATACAGATGTAACATATAAAATGATAGAAAGTAGCGTAACATAAATAACATCGGATTTCATACACGTACAAAGAGAATATATTAAATGTACATTTATCTTGTACAGACTGTTCTGGACGTTCCTGTGGAACCAACGGGACATTGTGTAAACGTACTTACAGATATGCTATTGTGCATCTTAATTACCCGTAACACGAGAGATTTATGGCTCTTTGGATGCGAAACAAACCCTGTTACATTTGTCTTAACGATATGCAGAGACTTTTAATGGGGCCATCCATTTCGCGAGTGGCAAAATTCAAAATTCGTTAAATAAGATACGAATAAAAGTTAAATAAAATGCAAGCATTATTTTTTATTTTTATTTCGTGCAATTTTATCCACGAAATTTTCGAGAGTGAAGTTATATTATTCCCGAAATAAACGTTATTCCAACTTTTTGGGTTTTCAAATATAAGCGCACATTCAATAAACGATTGTGTTTCGATAGAAAAAAAATTTCTTTTATATGTATGTGCAGCAATCATGTTCGTGTGAACAAACGCATTACGCGGCGCAGAGTCGTAATTATAACTCGTTAAATTCTCTCTTCATGAGAATATATCGCAATCCTATAAATTTATTATGGCAACGCGCACCTCATAAAAATCGAATTTAGCGAGTAACTATCGATATATATATATATATATCTCGCTTACAAAACATTGTATCTTATCATTGCATCTCCCCAAAGCTAGAGTAGGCTGAATTATTATTAAATCAACGAAAAAAGTGAAAGGATTAAAGCAGTTCCTCGTTATCGTCCGAAGCACCGTACATTTGCGGTCTCCTACTCAAAAGTCGCTGCTGCTGTTGAGCTTGTTGTTGCTGCTGCTGCTGTTGCTTTTGGAGGAGCGCGATACTGGCGGCTTTATAATTAATCGGCCCGTACGATCTGTAATCCACGTCCGCATAATCGAGATCCGAGAATTCCGGCTTGAAGGGCTGCATAAAACAGAAAAACGTGACGAATATCTCGGGACGAAAAAGTGGTCTATTTTTTCCAGACAATACAAATTTCTGGAAGACGTGTTCTGGCTTTTCAAATGCTTTTCCTATACATTTCGATTTATCTATATTATCAGAAGACAAATAAAGTTTTTTGTGTATAAAATATATAAAATTAAACATATTTTTTACTTGCAAGTAATTTTCATTAATATATTGTATTACGTTTGTTGCTATATTTGAGAGATTAGCGCTTTTAATTATATTTTTAAATTGTATAAAAAATATTTTTTATATCTGATTATTTTAGAAAGACATTTTATAAAATTTTGATAAAATTAGGAGGGATTATTTAAACGTCTCTTTAATCTTTGTATTGTTTGGATTCCAATCGTGCTACGCGGACGATTACGCACACAATAGTCTCTACTGGACTGTTGGCAAAGTTTTGTAACAGACCTGCTGTGCAAGCGTTCGACAAATGATCTGGTGTACCATTTCGGGTGTTAAAGCTTTCTCGTTCGTGATCGATGTCTGTCAATTAGACAACGACGTGTCTAGGGTGAATACATGAGTTCGACAGAGGTCTCATTGAAGGGCTGAGAGATTTACGCAAACAGAGGCGATTGACCATTAAACCATCTAATCGATGATCCGTTTGCAATCCCTCAGCTCGTCAATTATTAAGATTAAATATAGCCGTGATGATTGTTATCATGCTGCACATGCTGGACACTCCACAAATATTAAACTAATATGCGTGATTCAGGATTGAGAGGATTGTGCCGTTTTAATTATTACATTTTAATTGATTCGAAGCTTTTACTGTTGCACGCAGCAAGAGCAACGATTATAATAAATTTGTAATCAATTGTGGTTTCATCATTTGCGTAAAATATGAATATTGATGAAAAATGAATGGCCATTGTTTCGCGATTAACGTAAAATTTTGCGATATTATGCGACATAGAAGCCGTAATCCCGATATTTCAAAATTATTTTAACAGATATTCTCGTAATTTTTTCAAACAAGTCTCTCTCTCTCTCTTTCTCTCTATAGATAATAAAATACGAATTGTGTACACGCTTCTATAACGGGACAGAAAAAATTTTATAATGTACAAGGCTACATGCAAGCGAGAAAAGAGTTTAAAGAGAATCGAAAAAAGTTTGCTGGACAACAGCGCAATGAATGAACAATTGTAATCCCGTAAGAGATTGAATCGTTGCAAGTCCGTGAACGAGCAAAGCGAGTTCGAGTTCTGTATCCCTCGCGAATGGACGACATCCCGTATTTATGGTGGTACACTCGATTTACGTTATGCGTGTAAGCGGCGTGATATACTCCGTACAATGTACCTACAGGACGCTTGTCGGACGCCAAATTGTCCTAGTAAATGTACGTATCGCTCTTTGTCAGCTGACCCTCCTACGAACAAACATTGAGAGATATACAATTGATATGGTACGCATGCAGCAATTCCTTCGATCGTTCGTTGAGTCTCTTGTATCATACGCTAGGCAGGATACACTCGCGAGAGATACGTAGACATGCAAGATGCTACATACATACACAGCGACTGAGAATTGTCTTGACGATTTAATTCGATTCAATCGCGATCGAAAGCGGCGCAATATTACTTGGCAATTTGTTCGAAGAAATCAGAGAAGCATCAATAATTTTTTTCACGAAAAGCGAAGATCAGGCGGCATTAACTATTACAAACGATCTCACGATCAGTATCGTCCTGTATTTCATCAATTTCTCAAGACTTCGAGATGACGGATAATCTCTATTGTACTTCTTTTCGTGTGTACGCCATTTTTTATTGCAAAAAGTTTTTGGCGATCCGACAATATTTATAAAAATCTGCAGAGATAAATTTTATATTTGAAAATATAATCATATACTAATGTGTGTTTATTATATATATAATGTTCAAAAATTTGACAGTTTTAAATGCGATAAATACCAGCTCGCTATTATTGATCTAGTTTCTCGAGATATCCCGTTATACACTACATTGGCTACCTATAGGTGTTAAGTTGGATAATTCACTCTGTTACGTAAACCTCACATATGTTGCGTATCTATTATGATGTTTGCACATAGTTTGTTTTATTAATTTTGCACGGTAGGGATGTTCAAACAGATAACATTGACTTTTTTTGCGTGTCGTGTCTATCCGTTATTTTTTTTTATTCGTTTCACGGAACTTTACAGATGCGTACACAAAACTGTTTCCTTTTGGCGGATTGGATATTTTTGGATTGAATTTTAAATATTGAAAATATATTCCCGTGCCTGTCTCTCGATTGGTTATAGGATGAGTGGTCTGTCCGCGTGTCGCGTGCAGTAATGTTTTATATCGCTCGACATTACCGATTTTTTTTTTTAAACATAAAAGTTTATTGCAATATTGATTTACAGCACGCGGTTTATCAAAGAGCAATCGCGGAAATAGTGCCAGAGAGAGAATTCAAAAATGATATCGAATAAAAATTTATATGTAACTTTGTGTCGACGTTTTTGTTTTGAAACATTGAACCACGTTGCGCGTGTCGTCGAATATAATAGTGTATTTTTTTCTCGAAAAGAGTGTTCAGAGCTGAAGAATATTCTAATATTAATGTTATATGATTATTATCTAGCTATCAATGAGAGAGACATTATAATATAAAATTACGCTACATGGAAAAGAATACGCAATTTTTCCACAATATCAGAATTATCTTCTTACAATCTTGTTGAAGCTCGATCAAAATAGATATGCTGCCGTAATTAATGTTGTTAATTAAAAAGTGCAAGAAGAGAAAAAAAATATTTATAAAATCGTTCCTGAAAATCGAACAAACACAAATAAAGTAACGGTAAAGCTAAAGATTATACAAGGCGAAAACACAAGATTAGCATTAGAAAGAAACATAGAGTAAGCAAAATAGAAGAAAATGAAAGAGATATATTAATTTGCCCTACCTTTGAACACGACGTACGTAGAGAACATCTTAAAGAATGTGTTCGACACGCGTGGGTGCTTTACCTCTAAAGACGTAGCAGTGCCTCGGAGTCTTAAAACACACAAATTGCCACGGCAAATTCTCCTCGGAAAAAGTGCGTATCACCCGCGTCGTGCGTTCCCCGCAGATAGATAGGAAGGGAAGCCGTTGCGTCGCAGCAGCTGGGCTGCTGCAGGGCCACTAACCTTTAGACATCGATCTCCTGACCGACATCCCGGAAGTGAAGCTCGGCGTACTGCATTATCGTGGGCGCGGAGGGTGCACGGATATCGCCGACGTTGCCCGTCGATAGCCTCGTCTTCGATATTTTGCTGCGATTTTTCGCGTCGTCCACGTCCGTTGGAAATTGCGACGTATTATTGGCGGCGGAACGATTCGATTGGCGATCCCACGACGGTGGCTGCTGCTGCTGCTGCTGCTGCTGCTGACGCGTCACCGCCGAGTTCGGTCGGTGATAGTCGGTGGAACACTCCGCGTCCATTTCGTCCTCGTAGTAATGCGGATACGAGATCTTATACATCGCCTCGGACGCGCCCAGATCCGGGATCTGGTGAAAGCTGGTCTCGCAGTCAGGGGGCGAGACGCCGTTGAAAGTAGCATCGTTACGTCGCGATGGAGGGTCCCCTCTCTGTCGGCTCTGCTTCGACTTGTTCCGCTCGCCGGACGTTCGCTCGTGCTTCCGGTACTTCCGATTACGCTCGTTTCGCCGATTCGTTGACGCGTGTCGACGCGACGACGACTGTCTCGCGTCGTGATTGCCGTAATTTTGCTGCTGCTGCTGCTGCTGCTGTTGCTCTTCATCCCGATGCACCGCGGGCAAGTGATTGCCGGTCGTGGCGGCCTCGTGATGCACCAGGGTGGACGGCCGACTGTTGTTAGTGTGGACGAGGGAGGTTTGCAGGGGACTAACTATCGAGGGATGGTAGAGGTTGCGCGTTAGTGGCAGTGTTAGTTGATTCGAACTGTTGCTCGGTAAGGGGTAGCTGTACTGCTGCATCTCCTGCCGATGCTGCTGCTGGTAGTGTTCTTTGTAGTTGTATAGGCTGTCGGTCTGCAACAGGCACGGTTAGTAGTTGGGACCAGGCGAAACGGGGATGCGAGCGGTTAACGCGATGTAGATTTGAGAAAAGTGTGCGTGAACAAATCGGACGGCTGAGACATTATGTCGATTTTCCAATTTTAGAAGGAGGATCCATTTATGAATATATATAATGATTTTTCATGTTGTGAGACACGTAAATTTTTTGAATATTGCTTTCAATATGAATATATATGTACAAATTTATAATTATAGTTATATATTTATAATCATAATTATAGTATATTTATAGTTATAATATATTATTGATTTTTTTTTAATCGAAAAGAGAGAGGTTGAAATCAGTAGGTATACGGGATTTCACAATTTGATGTGCAAACACTCGCGATTGATTCACATACAATTCTTATTATATTATTGGAACGATAGACCGTAAAAACGAGCACTTTATATAGCTTCATTGTACTCTATATAATTCTATGTTCTCAAATCTTATTGATCTGAGACAAATATTATCAGGCCATTTAGGTTGTTGCTGCTACTCTCTTAAATTGAATCAGTAAAAATGTTACTGATTAAAGCGGTAACACAAAATTTCACTGACGGTCAGGGAGTATTTCACTGAACTTCAATGAAAACATTCGCTCTTTGCTCCTCCGTCCTATGTTTTAGTAAAATTTCATCGAAAAATCAATAATAAATCATACATGTATTTACAAACTGCAGCTTTTAAAGCTTTTTCTATTTAATTTTAATTGTTAATTTTTGGAAGAAGCTTTCATATATACGTATTTGAAATAAAAAATATATATATATATATAACTAGTATTCAAATTCAAAATTATATACATACAACATTATATACATATTACCATTTCTATTTTTAAAATGTGATAAACTCACAAAAAATGAACAGAACTCTTGGTTAAAAGGACTTACACATATTTCTTTAATAAAATATATTACTATAAATTTTCATATATATAATATTACAATATATTATACATAAAATGCATTAAAAAATATTATTGATTGAAACAGCTACTACCACTAGACTTCTTTTTGTGAGATTTTACTGCTATTCTTATTATTGAGATCATTAGTATATTTATTCACTGCTTTTCCGATAACACACTGATTCCATTTAAGAGAATATAATATATTAAATATATCTTTAAATATAAAAACATATTATATTTGAATAATGTTTACATTTTAAGACACATAAAGGATTTACATCAATTTTCTTTTACAATTGTCCGCTGACGGTGTTCATTGCCGTACCTATATCTGATATAACGACATCACATAAAATGTGCAAGGATTTATGCTATTGATCGACAAGTGAGGAAAGATATTTCTATTTTTGTCGTTGACGAAAATAAAAGAACAAACATACGGTGGAAAAAAAATGACGATTGCAAAAAAAAAAAAAGACCTTCGAAATAATATCTCAGATACGTCCATGTTTCGAAACAATAAAGAGCTCGAGTCATTGGTTAAGCGTGTGTGACAGTGAAAACTTACTTGACACGCGGCCAACATGCACAAGGGCGGTCGCTACATAGATGCCCGGATCCAGCTTAGCAGGGAAAATATGATTTCCGATTATAACTCGGCTTCCAGCAACTCTACCTCCTACTTGCTCGAGAAGCTGCTGTTTTATATCTATTACGAACACGTAAATCGTACACATGCAGTAGGCGCGAGATGCTAATGTTACTCGGTGCTTATAAGGAAACGGAGATTGACCTCTTGCTCGCTGGACATTGCCGCTTGTATAACTTTCGTGATTACATACAGTTTGATAAAAAAAATTACAAAATTCTCCGGTACGAGAATCGATTTCATGACGCGATGATGTTCGTAAAGTCATAGCGGATGATCTATAGCTTCTATGAAAAAATCGCTATATAAATACGATGATGAATGTCATTAAGGAACTTTTAGATCTAACGATAAGTGATATCAGGAGCCATTCGAAGCACTATACATGCTTATTACTGCTATTACTACTACGATAATACAAATAGATCTATTCCAAGGAATGCTTTCTATCACAGACTAGCTTAATTACTATCATAGCAAATTAAAATCGGTAATGCAACAAATGGTTATATACAGGGTGTCCCCAATTTAAATGTCAAAACTTTAGGAGCGTGTAGGGGACCGATAAACTAAGACAAAAAGTCCTTTAGAGATTTGCTCGTTTTTGCTTCGTTTTGAAGAAAAACGCAAAAAATGAAACAAATAATTTTCACCAAAAAACTGAAAACAACACTAAAATTATTAGATTTATCAAAAAGTACTATAAAATAAAAATTGTAGAACATGGAATTAAGAAAAGAGAGTGAGTTAAAATCCACCTGAGGTAAAATTAGATTAGAAACAAAATTTCGCGTTGTAGCGTATTTATCTACAATCCTCTAATTTTACCTCAGGAGGATTTTAACTTACTCTCTTTTCTTAATTCCATGTTCTACAGTTTTTATTTTATAATACTTTTAGATAAATCTAATAATTTTAGTGTTGTTTAAGTTTTTTGGTGAAAATTATTTGTTTCATTTTTTGCGATTTTCTTCAAAACGAAGCAAAAACGAGCAAATCTCTAAAGGACTTTTTGTCTTAGTTTATCGGTCCCCTATACGCTCCTAAAGTTTTGACATTTAAATTGGGGACACCATGTATAATACAAAGTATCTACAGGTTTCTTTTTAATAACACAAAATTATTTTATTCACATAAAATTATTTATAAAGACTATTAAAATCATAAAAGATATGTAAAAAAAATAAAAAGAATTGTATTTCAAATTTTTCCAAAAAACGAGTAAGTAGTTTAAATAAACTAATATCCTTTTAAAGAGAACTAATTATATAATATATTGACTATCAATGTTTTACATTCAATTGTTCCACTTCTGTGTAGTTGACGTGACTTCTACTCGAATTTCATCATGTTCTATTTATAATTAATGTAAGTTATTATTCATTGTAATGAAATGTTTGGTTTCATTGTTTCAATTTACATATTAATAACAAATATTTGGTAAAATAGTGATTTAACTATGAGAAAAGTTTATGGTTTACATACCATTAATAACTACTCGATAATTACTCGACCAATCTTATGTAACAAAGACTAGTATAAATTATATCAACAGTTTAATATACCTCGGGACACATAAAAGATTTACATTTTAGACAAAACTGATTTCAACAATAATTTCTTATAATCACAATATATATTCTTTTTAATTATTTTATTCTCTAAATAAATTCTGATATACAGTCGTTGTTTCGTGACTTCAAAAAGCATTGTGCTTTGCTGTTGAAATATTTGATGAAAAAACAGCATTCTCTGAAAGAGTCTTGTATATATAAAAATAAAAAGCTTCCGGAAATATTAAATCCAATACACACATCTCTCATGTATATATGTGTGTATAAGTATTTTCTGTTCAATTTTATCAACTACATGCCGGTACACTTCAAATATTTTTGTCTGTAAAAGCGTAAACCGCGAAAAAATATTTATTTAACGATATCTAAAATTTAGTAACTTTCATAGTTGGAATATATGTCTTAAAATTATAACATAAAAATCACGGTAATGATTACGACATTTTTACATCCGTTGTCATTCTCGACAATACAAGTCGATCGCGACAGAATTGATGGAGAGGCGGCTCCCGAAAAGCTCGCTCGCGACAATGTCCGCGAGCAACGTCATCAGATGCGGGGATTTCTTATCATAGATTATGAATAGTTGACAAACCTTAAGCTTAGGCAACGAAGCGTTTCTCGGCGGAAAAACGGGAAGAGGGACATTTTGGTAAGTGTGTTTGGACGGGTCGATCTTCCTGGACGTCCTCGGCGCTGGTATCGGCGGCGTCGTCGGTGACGATGGTATCGGCGTCGACGGCGCCGATCGGCTCATCAGGTTGATCGATCCCTGGCTTAAGGTCAGGGACGGCGTGTCCTCCATCGATCGGACAATCGTCGCGATCGTGGCTGTGCTATCGCTTCTGTGCGGACACGTTTTATAGATCGGTATCGCGTACAGCTCGTACTTCTTGCGGATGTTCTCGTGCCGGCGGCACAGCCGCAGGGAGTAAAATTGCTGCGAGTGTTTCTGCTTGCGTCGTCGCGGCTTCAGAGTGTTGTACTTGAGCACCGGCGAATTGCCCCTGGGCACGTTGTAAACGTTGTAGTGGGGCCCCAGGTGGCTCATGGTTGATTCGTAGCCGGAACTACCGTCACAGAGGCTGACAGCTCTGCTGGGTGGCCGCGAGGAGCACGGCGAGGTCGTGAAGGAATGATGCAACGTGCCATGCAAAGCCGAAACTCGGGCAAACTTAGGAGTAACCAACTAAAACAAAACGCAGCCAGCGGCCATTCGCATACACAACATCCTTCGGCTCGATTTCGGTTCGTTTTGCTGATTAACGCTCGATTATCCGATAACGTCGATGACGGGGATTCGAGGCTAATGACGTTTCGCGATGACTTGATTAGCGCGCGAAGTCTCGGCTTCGTAGATTGGCCGAAACGGTACTTCCTCGCCGTAGGACATAAGTAGGCAATCTATGTTAATCTCTGAGTTGCTATTGGCATTTTGGACGACTATCACTGATATAGTTATGTCGCTTCCTTGTGATGATTACGGTCAAGTTAATTTAACGTTATGTGCTTGATAACGACGTTTCGAGGATGTAACAATATTATACGGTATGATAGATATATCGATTGACGTAGACATTTAAAACTATTAAAAAGATATTTATATAAAATAAAATTATATTAGAAATAATTATTATATATAATAATTTTATAAAATTATTATATAACATAATTTTTTTTATTGCTAATATAATTTTATTTTATGATAATTTCTCCAATAGTTTTAAATGTCTAATCGATATCTATTATACAGCGTAATATTGTTACATCGCGAATATTACATCCTTGAAACGTCGTTATCGAGCGCATAATACTAGATTAATTTGGTCGTAATCATCACGAAAATAGAAGCGACATAACTATATTAGTGATAGCCGCCCAAAATGAAAATTATTCCTAAAAATAATTTTCTCTAATTTTTACTATTGGTATAATAATTACACCTAAAAATAATTTTCTACGATCTCTATTATGTGAGAAATAACTACAGTGAATTATCACGAATTATTAAATTATAATCAAACAAAAAAATAGAACATTATAATTGTATTTTGTTGAAGTTTATTCGATAAAAATTTCAAATTTAAATAACGCTTTGTCGATGAAAAAAAAAAAATCAAATGACTAAAATTTCTTCGATAACACAATTTTTCGAAATAATTATAGTTAATTGAAATATAACGCGCCAATGCCAGGAAAATAGTGCGCGTATCGGAGTTATTGTCGATATGTTAGGACCATCATCCATTGGATATCGGCTCTAATTATCGAATGCCTCGTGCCAGTAACACGGTGTGCTTATTGTCTCTCATCGAATTATTACGTTGATTGATTCAGATTGCGCTCGGATTGTGAATACTAGCGAATTAGGTAAACCGATTCGGCTAATTTCGCCTGGCTAGCTTGCTGAAATGAGCTTTGTCTACGTGGATTTGGCAATGTCAAGGATGCTTTCCGTTAAATAATTCATGTAAATCGGAACTTGTAAAGGAATTACTACAAAAGCTAATTAATTGTATTAGTACACAAATCTAACGTCTATTATCTAGAATTTTAAATATTTATGGGATTTGTGGTCCCTTAGCTTGTCTAGTTCATTAATTATATGCATAAATGAAGTTATTATACTACTAGGTAATTACTTTTATAGATGTCATTTATATACAATGGAGATGTGCATTAAACTAAAGCTTTTTTTAGCTGAAATTTAACTGATATAACCAAATATTCAATACTATACGTCAATCTGTAAAAATCCCCACACACATTCAATTTAGCTGAATAAATTCTATTATTTATTAAAATGTTAAAATAAAAATCTACAGCAATTTTATTTATCCGTAAATAAAATTGCGATAAAACACAAAGAATTTCATTAAATTTTTAAATTAAGAATAGAGATGACGTTATTTTTTGTTAGTCGTTATTCAACATGAGACACGGATAAACGATTCGAGCGTTAATCAGCACAAAATCAAATATATCAATTTCGATAAGAATAACATTATGAAGCCGTTCCGCTTTAAGACACACGAATTATTGGAAACTCATTGCAACAATCGGTCCTTCTAAAAAATGTTAAAGTGCGAGCACGATTAAGTTAGAAAAAAAAAAAGAAAGCGAGCAGTGAATTTATTTTCGCCAGAATAGCAATGCTCGTTATACTCGCACAGCACTGAATTACCTGTCCACCACGGTGTTCTTTTTTCCGCTATATTGATTGGGCTACGAGATTTCCTACAGCTAATAAAAATATTCGACAATTCGCAAAAAGTGTGTGTTGTGCAGATAGCGCGAAGAATGAATAGCACAGTCACTTACTTGTTACAAACTAATACAATTTCGTTTACTTCTCATTGGCAAATTATATCCTCTTAATTTTATCAAACTCTGTTAAATTATCGGTATTGCGATTATCTGGAAGACAATCGATAAAACGTTATATCGCTAGTATATAAATATTACACAAGAGAGATTACGTAACAAGCAGTATATAAAAGCAGCCATTTGCGAAGTGCGAAAATATTCGAGTAATTAATAAAAAAAAAAAAAAAATTCGAAAGTTGAAGAGAAAAATTATATAAAACTTGTGAGTTGCATTTCGATGAAAATTATTATCTGCTTTTGATTCGCAGTTATTTTTCGCTGCGTGCAGAGTATCATTGTGAGAGTATCACGTCTCACGCGAATAAAACACTTTGACGACGTATTAAACAAATGAATGTTTCACTAGACATGCATTTTAGCAGTATCGATTTCGCATGATTATCGCTAAAAGCGACGCGATTACAAACCTCAACTCTGCAACCAACAATAATATCATTGACAAGCAACGATATTTATTGTATATTAATCACCGCGAAAATATTCGAGTAATTAATAAAAAAAAAAAAAAATTCGAAAGTTGAAGAGAAAAATTATATAAAACTTGTGAGTTGCATTTCGATGAAAATTATTATCTGCTTTTGATTCGCAGTTATTTTTCGCTGCGTGCAGAGTATCATTGTGAGAGTATCACGTCTCACGCGAATAAAACACTTTGACGACGTATTAAACAAATGAATGTTTCACTAGACATGCATTTTAGCAGTATCGATTTCGCATGATTATCGCTAAAAGCGACGCGATTACAAACCTCAACTCTGCAACCAACAATAATATCATTGACAAGCAACGATATTTATTGTATATTAATCACCGCGAGATATAATGACAGCAAATTGTCAGTCGCTATTATTAATTACTTTTATTTCTTTCCATCAATATTTTGATATTTAAATATTTCGATATAATGTAATTTATGTTTAAATAGAAATAAAAAATAAAAAAATTTTGTAAGTATTAAAATATATAAATACAGAATATTATTATATATCGTAAAGAATTGTTTTCTCAAGATATCAAATCGGTCGTATTACAAAATAAATCTTAGTTCGAAGAGAGTCCGTAACATTCTCGAACTGACGCTCTACAAAGTAGAATATCTTTTGCAGAATATTCGACGACTCAAGAGAGACCGATATATTTATTCGCTTGAGAAACGCGACGTGGTAGAATCGATTGAGATGGCAGAATTTACATCGTAAAGATTTCGACGTCATCGAACGCGTTTCTAAAGCAAAGGAGACTTAGATCATAATATCTCATGTATTATTGCGAACTTTCCGATACACAAGAATAACATTCTTCTTTTTAACGCGTTATACATGATATTCTTTTCCGTTTAAGCATACAAGGTAGCTAGAAATTTGCATCTACGTTTTACTGAAATTTCTTTGTGTATAACGCTTAATTTGCAAGATGACCATAAGTTCTGTTATTTTAAAAGATTCCGTGATCCTTCAGGTGTAATAAATTCACTTTAGAGACGTCTTCTTCCATTCTAATTATTCAAACTCAAACAGAAGCGCGAGCCGTTTGTGAAATGGCGGAATTAATTATTTTAATGTTTGCTTGAGGCAAATCAATTAACTGTAATAATTCGCGGTTAACGCAACGGGTGAGTCTGCTGATAAAAAGGGACGAGAAGTAGCGGGGGTGACGGCGAACGCATTCGCGCGATGATTCGATAAAGCGAACGAGCCCAGGACTGGCCTCTTAATTACGAAACAGCGATTTGGAAAGTCATTGCGAAATAACATTATAGCCATTACGAGGGTCGAAAGAGGTTTCTATGTAACCAAGCTCAGTAGGTAGATAGCTCTTACACAGTGAAGCACGAGCAATACCGTAGGAGGAACCATATGTTGAAGTGGTGAGGCACTTCTAAGTGCTTGCGGGCCTTCGAAGAGGTTGAGCGACGCGAAGGGTCGTACTAATATCTACCCTCTTGGCCTTTCACCGCATTTCACTTGCTATCACCTCTCGAATATATTTGGCCAGAAGGAGGCAACGTTAATCGACGAACTGTTCACGAAACTTGGCGGCTAACTGACAGAGATGTGCACCAAGAGGGTATCGATGTATCAACTTAGATCGATCTTGCGTGAATTTTCATCTAAAATTATGTTGCTCTTCCGGCATATCTCTCATTCTAGTTGTCCAATTTTTTTTTTTATAAAAGATATTTTTTTTTTATAAAAGATATTTGTGATATTTTTTACACTTGGCGCTTCGACATTTAAAGTTGATTGTTGCAAATTGATTTTTCGCGACTGATACATTTGCCATTATTAGTTCCCTTTTTCTTTGACAATCACGCTAATGTGCATGTTGCAAGTCGAATGCTCTCATGCTGTCCGACAAAAACTTCTCGCCTTTCTTTTTCTTCTATACAATGATCATTATACTAACCTTGTTAGGAGGCGCTTGAATCCCGTGGAAAGGTAAGTTTTCGTAGAATGTCTTCGTCCCCGAGTCGGGAAGAACTTCCGACACGCTGTTCACATGATTGTTATTCGCGGCTTGATTGGGATCTGCAATTGCAAAAAGAGAATGGCGTTGCATAAATTGTCGCGACGTAAATTGTCGGCGATGGCAATAGATTCGACGTTCCACGATCGACCAACACATTTTAACTTAATCCAATATAAAGACCAACTTTTATTATTGCACAGTATAAAGAATATAAAACATGGTAACGAGAAAAAAAAAAGCTTGAAACAGATTGCAATTTCGAATTGGATTTCAGGATGTAACCGTGGGATTAAAAAATTCTCAGCAATCAATCTCGTAATCAATGCAATTTCTTTCTTGTATTAGAATTCCATATTTCTGAATCCCGCGATTCGAGCCTAGCTTTCAATTTATATTTCTATTTTTTTTTATCTAATTTACATTTTACAATTTGTATTACGATCACAGTGTTTTCTCAAAACATCAATATACAATAGAATAACAATATTGTGTCATCGTTGATAATTGTCATTATCTATTTATAACTTTGCAAAATAATAAAATCTCTCTGTTAAAGAGATTGTAATATAGATAAGAAATTTTATATGATTTTAATCAAAAAGAATAATATCGTGAAGAAAATGCGTAAAATTATATGTAGTTTCGAGTATAAATTAGACAATGAAATATTATTAATTTATCGCGATAAAGTGAAATTTATGTGGTCGGTCGCTGTGTGTATTTTTTGTTAATGCGAATTCTATGAATTCTTGCGTGCGGCGTGTGTATGGATCGCCTATAGCTAAATAACCCTCTATTTCGCACTAATGATTGTGACATTCGCACTGTGTATCTGTGTGCTCACATTAACATGTGTATTTCTTCCGTCCGGCGATGTGTATTGGCGAAGTAACACATAAATTGGGAAAGGAAATCCGTCAATTTTGGAGAAGGTTCTAAGTCAAATTATGCGAGCAAGAGTCAAGTCATGACATGCGCGTTATATAGAAATATTTTGTACGTACCTGCCCCAGGTTTTTTTCGCTTACGAGACGTATTGCCACGATGCGGCTCGCGAGATGATTCCATGGTGTGCAATATCCGCTGCCGTGGCACGATTCTTTTATAAGTCACGGCTAAGAAACATACAATCAACAACGAGCGATGTCACAAACACATAAAGCCTCTCTCATGCGATAGCTCGATCAAACGTAATCAATGCGATTATGGATGTTAAATAAATATAGGATATAAATGTTTCATCTCCAATTTTAAGATAATGTATTATTACAAAATAATACAAAAAAAATATTTTATTGTTTACAAGAGAATGAATCATATAACGTTCTCTGGAAACTAATTTGTTTTCATGTTTTCCTTACAATGTGAGATCTAACACTTCATGAATTGTAAAAAATACAGAAATATTTGTTCTTACGACTTCTTTACCTTTCATCTTGTAATTAAATTGCTCGTCTCTCAAATTAAATTATACATTTTCTATATTTTAAAAGTACCGTATAAAATATCATTAAAAGTGGTATTATTATCACGTTTGTGCTAATGGAAAAAAATAATAATGGGCAAATAATACTTCAATATTAAATTCTACAAAATGCGAAATTTAATTTCTTCTAATTTTAATTACAATGAATTTAATTTTAATGCACTGGATATTGATCTTTCTTTGTTTTGAATGTTTCTATTATTTTTTTAAATCTGCGGGTTCTGTAAATAACGATAAAACTCTCAAATAAACATCGTTCTGGGGATAGCAAGATTGAATATCTTCCTAGAATACGAAGTTTTTGTCGGAAGGGAAAGATTAGATGTTTAATTACGCATCGTATATATTAACTGTGTATTTAATGAGATTTCACGTACTTCACATATCACGTACTATCCAATAACACGACGACGTTTTCGTTTCACTACATTGGAAGCGCGTAAAAAGAGAAGTCACGGTTAATGGAAGATAACACGATAAAGTCTATTATTACCTGTGACGACAATCGAAAAAAAAAAAAAAAAAAAAGTAGAAAAAGAAGACTCTCATTTCTGATTTCTAGTTACATTACTATATACATGCATAAAATTTTGCGATATTTTCAATCTCTCACAAGCCAAATGTAATATACAAGGATTCCATGTTCTTTCTTTCTTTATCTCTCGTTGACTTTATTCAACTTTTAAAACAAACAGTGAAGAAGATTGCATGGTTAAATTAATATAATATAAAGTAACAATTATCTCACTCAAACCTCAACTAAATCTTAATATTTATTGATTGAGATACGCTTCCTTTCTTTTTTTAATATAGGTTTTGAGTTGTGTTTTATCTATATTGTTTGATGTATGTACTAATTTATGCATATATACAAACAGATATTACATAAAAAAAAAAAAACTGTAGAAAGAGTAATGCGAAACGAGTTCTGCCAAGAATGGAACTATAAAATCAATAACGTGAGATATTGCCAAGATAACTGGCTAATACTACGGATCATATATGTATATATACACATACATACATATATTTGGTGTGCATGTGTGTATATATACATATAAAGTATTCTATAATAAAAGATATCGATGAAATATGTGGTATTATGTGTCCATAAAGCGGATAATGCGGTCGCCGAGATTCAATGCCTGTCATTATTTTTTCACAGAAAAAATATAAAATAATAATCTATCTACTGGCTCACTGTATGTATAATACTACGCATATATCTTGCGGATGCGGGAGAGATCAAGAGGGTACGTTTGGTTTATTTTCGGTACGGAACAGCTATTTGTTTAAACTATTTGCATTCACAAACATTTGCTTCTCCGCTGGTGCGCGGCCGTGTATCTAGCTTATGTCGCTGTAAACGCGTCGGATAATTTTTCGTGTGAAATTAGAAATACTAATATTCAAATATATTCTGCCTCAAGAAGTTTCAACTTTAAAAATTGTGTGAAAAGTCGACATCTTACATAGAGATGCAAGGAATTGCAAAGCACAAGCGGTCGCGAATGTAAACGGATTAACGTCGCATCGTAGTTTGCGACTTTCTTACCTGTCTTCTCTCGAGATATACCGGGCAGAGTGGCCTGTTCCTTGAGCTGTACCCCAAACATGGCTTTTATTTTGTTAGCCCGGGCGAGCATACCGTCCTCGTGCAGACTGGTCATGCTGGTCGTCCTCTGAACGGCCTGATCTTTCCTACCGCGACGAAATACCGCGCGTGCCGGATTACAGCTGATCGGTGACAACGGCGTCTCGTCTAGGAATCGCTGTCTGAACGATTCGTCGCTCTGTTTGCCCACCAGCTCGTTACGCAGATTAGACTCGTTCGCGCGAATGCTCAGGCCGCCGGATCGTAGGCTGTGAGTCCGATTGATGTGCACCAGCACGCCCGGCTTCAAGGGCCATCTCGGTGCCGGCGTCGGCTGCGCCGGGCTTTGCACCGAGTGCGAGGATACCGTGGGACTGGGCGGTCCACCGTCTGGACTGTTATAACGATCGAGGTCATACGGGATAATTGAGCTGGACGAACGAGATGAATGGAACGCGACGCAGTGAGTCTCGGTGATAAAATTAGAGAAAAGGTATCGAGATAAGTATAGACGATTCTATAATGATGAATAAAAAAAGACCTTTTTATTTTTTAATGATATGAATTCATTTATACTAAGTATATATATCAAAAGTTATCATATATCTTTTTGGAAATGGCCAACTTTACATAAAACATGAGTCGTTAAATATTTATGAGTCCTTTAATATTTATTTATAAGAGAAATAGCATCTATAATAAATTTAGAAACTTTATTGGAAACTCATTGCGTTGTCCAATTTAACCCAAAAATCTCGATTACCCCATTTGACCTGAATTGTCCCGAGAACGAGAGAGATGAGAGATCAAACGTGCGAGAGAACGAATAGGAAGATGAATCAGTTGCAGGAATCTTCCTCAAGAATCAAGCTGTATTTGACAAGATAACAAATGCTCTTTTCTTATTTTTGAGACAAGAATACCGTTCCACATTTTAAATAAAACGTCACACGAATTTTAATAAATGAGCCACGTGTTTTGCGGAATAGAAAAATAATTTATTCGCGAAATAAAATTTTCTGCAAGCTTCTTGACAATGTGTTTTTGCGTTAAGCTATTATATCATCTCGAATTGCATTATCTAAATGAGGAACATTGCGTGGCATGTCGTGTCTCTGGTAGGATCAGAGGACCTTTAAAGACGGAAATAAATCTCAGTGCAGAAAATCCGCCGTAGCTCAAGCACGTTTGTCTTCCTTCTCAGCTCGCGAAATAACGAAATTTTAGTACTGTAAAAATAGAAAGCTCGATCGATACTGAATCACGCGAATAAATTAATATCTCCGTTGTTGAATATGTTCTCATGATTAAATTTATTTACATAAGTCCGCGAAAAATAAAAATATGAATTTAATAAATATATAATAAATAATAATTATAAATTTAATGGTTTATATATCTTCCGTTTTATGTGTACACCCAGTTTAAACATTTTACATGTAATGAACACAGATTATAATTAAAAGCATAATTATTCTCTAAGCAAGTTATACTAATTGTACTAAACAAAGCGTAGTAAATATAACAACATGCGTTTTAATCAAATTATAAATTTTCTTTCTTGGACAGAAAAGACGGAATAATCTTGAAAGTAAATTTTGAATAACGCTAAAAAATTGATTAATACTAAGAAAAAGAAAAGCAGAATTGAGAAAACATTATAATTACGCAATAATAAAAAATATTTTTCTGGAATATCCTTATACAAAAAGATTATAATTAATTCTCATCATCTTTATACGGAATGTTTTCAATAAAATGATGCGGATTTAAACACCGGGTTTTGGCTGTCGTTGAAACTGCATATGCAAACTTTTAATTCACGCGAAATTTTCAAGGTCCGCGGAACGAAGTGCTCAAGGGAAAAATGTCATCGAGAATAGAAGTCGGGAAAGCGTTGTCGAGTATTGCCGTCAAGCGTACGTATGGTATAAAAGATTGCATTGCGAGAAACTGTGATTTCTCCAGCACGATTCACGGTACGACGTTTTCCATTCGGTATATTTCCCGTCGCAGTGACGTAGCCAATGTTTGCGGATCCTTCCGGCACCACACACACAGATGAACTTCGGGTTTTTCTTCGTCCTTTATTTCAGGCAACGCGTTGATCTTTGTCATCATCTTTCTATCTTTTTTATATTTCTTTTTTTACATTTTTCTTTATATTTCTTGTGCCATTTTATCGTTCATTCTTTATATTACTTATTTTCCTTTTTCTCTTTTTCCTTCTCTCTTGCTTTCTTGCTTTTTTTTCATCTTTTCTCTTCTTATCCCCCATTTTCTCTTTTTTTTTTCGTGCTGGGGCCCTTTGTTACGCCATTGCTCGACGTTTTGAAGCTTTTCCAGCACTTCGCAGTTTTATTGCACGCTTCGTTTAAAGTCTTGTCGCAGAGCCGCGTTACATTGCTCATGGATCGAACGGACGGCAATTATCGACGTGCGCGCGCGCGCGTGTGTGTGTCGGGGCTAATCTAATGACTCGTGTCCGCTAAATCGGGCAGAGCTGGGCGACCTTTAAGACCGTTTGAAATAAAATAATTCGTCGAATGCGAGCGGCATGCGATGATAAACGCACCTTTCCAGATGCCGTGCACGTGCAAATGCACTCGTGAGTGCGGCGAATATCCATCAAGACGGACTTATCGCGATGTCATACGTGAGCGTATTTCTTATTCGATTTATCATGGACCATTAACAAATAAGCGGAAAGGCGTGGAAAGAAATTACGACGAGATTTCATGAATCTGTGAAATTGCGCATTTCCAGAGAGCTCTATTAATGGGAGCGTACACGGTAAACCGTGAAATTGCGCGCGAGCTAATTTAGAAAATGAAACAATTATCGCCCGTTCGTTAGATGAAATTAGAGTACGCGTGCCGCGGTTTAATGTTTGTTACGTTCACGCAGCCAATTAATCTGGCATGTACAACGGGCGTCAATAATCCCTTTATATCCGAATTCGCGACATTCCAGCACGCATTGTGTCTAGATATTCGAGAATAATAATACTGTCGATTTTGAGAAAAATCAAAAATAATGTTATAACCGAGTAGGAGATGAAAAAATATTACACTTGGGAACTCTCTTAAATGGAATTTGTGTATATATTGTTATATTTTTATATTATCACTGAAAAGCAGTGAATAGTCACTGACGGCTTCGATTATAATACAACACTTGAGTGAGATTTTGCAGATCAGAAATCTCATCTGAAATCTCACTGAAAGATCTTATCATGAATCTAAAATCTCTCTAAAAAATTAATTAATTGTACTGTCTGTTTTAATCGATGATTTTTATCTTATTATTTTTATTTTTCGTATTTTTGTATGATTGTTATATTTTTAAATAACATTTACTACATACTCTACGGGATTCAGTATCGTTCAATCTTGTTTTTCATTGCGCTATAATACTTCGCTATCAGAAAAATATATCTATGCACACGATGGTGTACTATTCTACGTTGGTGTAATTTCAATCTGCGGTGAATAGATTTCTAATGTCCTTAAATTCCATGCAAAAAATGAGTGCATCGTTCTACCATAATCTTGCTTTAAAATGCCCGGGGAAACAATTTGCACAACGCAGTCCCTTCTCTATCGCCATAAGTCACGCGACATTTCTTCGTCACGCGAAAGATATGATTGTTGATGTGCCGCATTCAACAACAGAAACTCGCGAGACCGAAGGCAGAATAAACACGTGCGTTTTGTTTTTTTTTCCCCGAACAATTCCTCATGTAGGCGTTATTTTTTTTTCCCAACGAACTGACTTCTCGTCTCCGCGAATTGAGGGGGCGAGGTGCCATATATTTATTGTGCAACCGTTGTGTGCATTCCGTTGTTATAAGCGGTTGTTTGTAAGCTTTCTCAGAAGTACCAGGAGAGATATCCACGCGGTAGAACCAACACTGATAAGAGAAAGGACTAAATTAAATGTAAACTCGGCCGTGCAGCTTGTAGATTTATAGGATGAAGCGCGTACCGTCCCGTGTATCAAAAAGATTGCGCGTGCGATGGAGTAACATGACATTGTATGACGAAAATGTGTGCGGATGCATTCTTTAAAAATATCGTGGTAAGAAGAGGCCTTGAGCGTTAGCGTTTAAAAATATTTTCCAACGTTGCTCCTTTGTAGCAACGTAACTTGTAACATTATCTTGCAAAAAGCCTGATAGCGCGCGCGCGCGCACTTTTCCACAAAAGGTTACACTCCTAGAATATCAGCTGTAGGGATATAGGTAGAAAAATAAGATAATTTTAATCTTGATAAAATAATAGGAAAACTTTTTACACGACCGTGCTTTAATTATAATCCGCGCTTTCCGTACGCACAAAGGAGGATTATAATATAAATTGTATCAAGATTTTATACGTTGCACATTTCGCGATGCAAAATTGATAATTTAACGTGTAGCTGAGGGCACTTTTCAATTTCCATCATCGATCCTCTATCGAGATGGATAGGCTCCCGGGAAATGTGTACTCTAATCCGTGCAAATCCTCCACCTACCTTGTAATTCCGAAGGTATTCCCCCAGCAACTTTGCATGGTCATTACAAAGCCCGTATTAACGATTACAAGCGATCTTTGTTGAATTATGCAAGAAGTTACACACGCGATAACTGCAGCACGTGAAAGAGCGTCATGTAGAACACCTCGTTCGCTCTCTCGCGAACAATTATAACTACCTACCTCGCTTGTATCAAGTTGACAATAACTACTGTAGACCGGAAGCGGTAGTTAAATTATGCAATAGGATATGTATTCAGGTATTGTAGAGAGAGGATTATTTCCTGCGAGATTTCAGGTCGGAGACAAACTTGCATGCTATCGTGGACAAGCGCGCCAATAGAATCGGCTATCCTTTATGCATTTATCGATCATCAAGTGCATGATATTACGTTTGTTAGTGTTGGTGCAGGTAATTGAAATATGTTATACGAATGAACAATATATATATATATATATTTCTGAATAACTATAGTCAATAAAATGAAGTAAAATAAACAATTAACTCGACAAATTATATTTCCACCGAAGAGATTTACCATAATCTAAGATATGATTAGTATATATATATATATATATTTGAGTTTGTATCGTTAATTCATTAATATAATATGTTTCTCTATCTGCGAATATTTCATATATTTCAAATTTATAATAATAATAGTATAAAATATAACGTATGTTTTTTAATCTCCAATATTGTCAATTTAAACATGTTTATTATTGTAAATGCAATTCTACTTTAATTTTGATAATGATGATAAATTCCTTATTAAAAAATAAAATTGTTGACATATGTATTCTTTACCGACTGTATTAAATACATTAAAATTATTATTATAATTTATAATAATAATTTATTATACGCATAATAATTTACAGGGGGCTACGTACATCAATGGAGACTATAAGCATAAATAATATCAATAAATTCTATCTACAATTGTGTATATAGAAAACGTGTTTTATAAAGCAAAAAATGCATTCTATATTTTTAGCAAGCTTTTCTCCACCGTATTGCCTTTATCGAGCAAACCTAACTAAAGCTGACCCAATACCGGCAAATCAAGAGCTATTGTTTAACTAAAATAACATAAACAAAAAACGTAATGTGCTGCGGTTTGTACTTACTGTTCGCGTTCCTCCAGCTCGACCACCCGGTTACTGTCTGTGTTTTGTTTAGCAAGTCCAAATTAAAAAGTAGAGCAGAAACGAATCAGTTTCGTGTTAGTGAAAACTACTGAACAAACGCATGCTCGCTGCCGTAATGTGTTAATTGTCATTAATTATGAACAAGGCGTGTGTGTTTTTTAAAATGCAACTTGTAAGGGAACATCATTTTGTTGTAATTTTTTTATATACTATAAAAATTTACTACACACAAATGAAAATAATTTTTTAAGCAAGAACATTGCATTGTTTCTTTTTTTTTATTGTGCTGAAAGTTTCGCTAAAACAATCGTAAAGCTTATATTAAACATATCCTTTTATCAAATATTATTTGAAATTAATTCATAAACGAGTATAAACGTTATCCAAATTTTATATATTATACATAATTCTATTATTCCGTTTTACTTTTGAACATCCACGTTTATTTTGGAAAAATTATATATATTGTTATAGCTATACGCGCACCATTAATTAAAGCAATTAATTTTTAATTGCAGAAGAATTGTAGAAAAACGCGCAGAAATTACTGCGTTTAATTAATACGAACATGCCCTTTATCGCAATTATTACAGAACGGCAATTTTACGTTGCAGCGATACTAAAAGTAGATTCTGCTATTCTTCTTAACTATGGTGCCATTAAATTTATTACAATGAAAAATTGTAAATTTAATTTACAGAGTTATATCCGGTAAACAATATCGTTCCGTATACGAATGAGCTTACTTTGCATGCATATCGATCGTTGTTTATTAATGTCATCGTATTCTTACGTGCGCGCGCATTGATATTTGGAATCGTACTTAAAATCTTGTTAAAGTGAAAATCTTGTTATGCAAAAGAGCTTAGAATCTGTGTCACTAGCCCAATATCAAACATACACATCTATTATTATTATATAATCTTATTTGCAACGCGGCGAAAAGAAATGGAAATCATTATTAATCAATATCAGTAACTATTTATATCTGAAGCCGTATCGTTTTGCTTAGAGACTGTATTAATCTAAAGTAAATCTGGCTCTTTCGAGTTAAAAAGTTTTTTAATTTAATTAATTTCTTTAGACACATTAACATTTATATTGTGAAATAAATACTATTTATATTCACAAAAGCAGGTTGTGCCAAAAATGACAACATAATATTTATATTTTTAATTAATATATTTTTAAAATATTTCTGAGAATTATTTTAAGTTATTTATATCTCATAAAATATCACATTCTTGTATTTATATTTATATCATGAATTATATTCATAATAAAAAGAAAAAATATTGGATGTTATTGCAATCGAATTAATCCGAATCAACATTATAGCAGCGTAGCACGCGTTTGTCCGTAATAATAGTTTATACATATGTATCTCCATCTAAATGGAAATCTTACATTGTTTAGCTACTTTATACAAAAATATATCAAATAGTGAGCATGCTTTTACTCTACTTGGCATAAATTATAAAGATATAATATACTTTTTATACAACGTGTAAGAATATATATCTACGTCTGTTTTTGCATGGACGGGTTAACATATGTTTTTTTGTCAAGAAAAAGAATATACTTTCCGGAACAAAGTCTACTCTTTCAGTAAATATCAGATAAACGAAACAGTTTAATGGATGTTTTACGGATTCATGTGGTAAGATAACTTTGATATACTTACGATTACGCGCGTTTCAAGCCATTATTTGTTACGAGAAGGTTTATCAGTCAAATTCAATTACGTTCACAAAGAAAGCACAAAAATTAACACAAGTAATTAATTAATAATTTTTAAAATATAAAACAATAAATTTGCATGTTCAGGTCTCTCTTGTACGTATTAACTTTTCGAGAAGATATTTTTTATATTAACGAAGGTATATGTATCGGGACATAAACATAAAGACATTGATGAGATTAAAAAATAATGTCGTTAGTATATATTAAACAAATATTATTGTTAATTGCACTCTTTTTCTGTGTTTAATTACAACAATTATAGATTGCTTGTCAAATTATAAAAAATAGTTTATAAATTATTGAATATAAGATAATGATATTTATCGGCTAATTTGGATATATCAAAATATGTATATATATATTTTTATAATAATTCAGATTTAATTTTTAACGCGCAAAATATTTAATTTTTCAAAGGTACTACAAAATAAAAATCATTTTTGTGATAAAATTTGGAGAAGTTACATTAAAAATTTCACGCGTATTGAGTACGTTATCGATCCGATATAAAGAGGATCGAAGAAATTTCGCTTCACGATCTAGTATGCCATGCAAGTCGCCGATAGCGATTCTGTGATATATCAAATATATGATATATCAAATAGATATTATATAAAGATAACTTACATTTCATCTGACTGCGTTTACGTCGGCACACGATGTAGATGGCCACGCAGATTAGTATTAGAACTAGTATCAGGACCACCACTACGATGATAATAATTAGCAGCAGATTACCCTCCAATTGATGCCACCAGGGTATATGACCTGCAATGTGATAGGTTGTACAATAATCGATAACAACAGTCGATATAAACAATGCATACAAAGAGAATAATGCACGCGCAAAGCACTTTCATTATTCATATCAAAATATGGAAATATCATAATAGCGTTACAACAAACAGTGAAAAGATGATATCTTTGTTTCATGGCGCGATTAATCCGTATAACGACTTTTGTTGGAGAGATAGGTATATCGAGTATCATCAAAATTATAAAAAAATGTTTAAAAATATGCACTGAAATAAAGAGATGATAAAAAAAGAGATTACAAATAATTGGAAAGATTAAAGTATGTATATTGCGTCTCAAATTCATAAAACTGATCCATAGCTTACACAGCTATAATAGATATAGCATAAAGTTTAAAAAAATCTTTGTTTTAGTTTCATTCATTTACGCAGAGCGTTTGAACGTAACACAATGTATTTCGATTAAAATCTCAAATAAATTATTATTGAAAGTTCTATATCGTGATACACAATACAAATGCTAAATATGCTAATTATATATATACAAATAGCAATTATATTTAAGATACATATTAAACGCAAGACCTGGAATAATATAAACTTACTTTTGTGTCCATGGTGGGCTATAGAACAACAAAATTTTTTTAATATTTATGATCGACAGATCAAAACTCATCACTTTGATTATAAATTAAAGACGGATTAGAATCATTATTTTAATGCAATTATGCAATAATATAAGTAATTTTATGCAAACATGTTCCAAATCTACAACGCAAAAATATCACATATAATTATTGAATATAATATGAATAAAAATGTAGTAATATTACGAAATGGATTCTAGTTTCCAGTCAATATTTATATATGTATATGTATTTATATATCAAATTATATATACATATATGTATATTAATTTAGCATAGATATTTTAAAATTTAGTAAATATTTAGTAAATATATTTAGTAAATATGTTTGATTTCATCGAAACTACATATACGGAAAATTCACTCGCAACAAACATACAATGAATAACTTTATCCTATGTTCGTAACTTTTCAATTATGTAAATTCACAAACTCTCTATACGGCTGTTATAAAGAAACTTCTATATTATGTTAATATATCTTTTTTATGTATATTTTTTTCGCGAATATGAAAAAAAATGTGTCGAAACGCGATAATATTTTTTAATATAAAGTCCGCGTGTTAAAAACTTCTTGGTAAAAACTTCTACTTCCTTTGCAAGAAAATATAATACAAGCTTGGCGCTATTAGCGAATCGATGAAAAGTTTTGCTATACCAACCTGGTATGTCGTGCTCGCACGGTACGGAGTGGCCGATTGTGTTATTTGCTACACACACGTATGTCCGGAAGTTAGTGATCGAGGTATCGAGGAGTATGTAACTTCGCCCATTTCGCATTTCTGCGATTTGCTCCAGCGTGTCGTTTTCGTTCTTCAAAGACCAGCTGAAGTCCGTCTCCTTCGGATTTGCGACGGCTGAGCAAACCACGTAATCCTGGCCATCGAATCGTTCCTTCTCTATGTGACATTCCGGTTTAACTATATGGAAAATATAGTTTAGCTATATCAAAAGCAATGTAAAAAAATGGGATCTATGATTTTGAATAGCGATATATTAACAAAAAATTTGAATACATTTAAAACATTATCTTTTTTTTTTTTTAAAAAGATATTATGATCATCAAAAAAATATAATCTGAAAAATTTCTCTTTAAATAGATTTAAACGGTCGGAAAAAGATGAAAGAAAAAGATTCTACGATTAATGTATTCGATATTCGCCTTCTTAAATGAATCTACTCAATAAATTGAAGAATCTTCTTGAAACTGTTAGCTCATTCGCTTGAAAATGCAGTGGAAGCTTACATTGCACATTCATAACCATCGAGATATTCAGAGAACCGTGACGATTCGACGCCTCGCAGTAGTAAGTGCCGTTGCTACGTCTGGGTACCGGCATTTTCAAGTCGAGCACGTGACCCTCCGTAATAGTGTCGGTGGGTGAACCTTCACGGAACCACCGGAAGTTCGGTTTTGGTCGTGCTTTCGCGTCGCACTCGACGATTTCCGCGATCGTGTCCACTGTCACATTGATCATCTTCTTCGAGATCGTGATATCTTCCGGAGGGACTTTTTAGGAAAGAAAAAAAATCGGATATTTAATAATCTTTGGCAACAAACCTTTTTTTGATAAAAATATTTTCTTTTTCTCAACTTATAAAAATATTTTTCGTGTGAGCTTTAAACGATCTGAAATTAAGTTACTGGAATTTATATTTTATATTTGCCAATGTATATCGAAAATTGAAAGATATTAAATCAGCCATACAAGTAGAGAAAATTTTCTCCAAATATTAGAAATATTTTTGTCCTTTCTATGTAATAATCGCTTAAAAAGTGAATCTTTATACCATCGATTTATGCAAGCGAGCAAAGATACGCATCCGTACAAAAAAAAAACTTCGAACAAAACGTACACTCGACGTGAAAATGAGTGCTGCTCTCCACGCCTGGGCCAATCCCGTTGCTACTGCTTTTGCAGGTGAATTTGACGTTATCCTCGTCACGGTCGAGCTGACCGTTCGGCCAGACGGTCAGATTCCATACAAGGGTCGATTGGATGCTCTCGAAGTCGTTGGTCCTCGGGTCAGGCGGATGATAAACGTTCAACACGTAGTATCGATTCGTTTTCGAGAAGTCCATGGGAATATCATCTCTCAGCCAAGAAATATTGCAGATTGGAGCGCATTCGATCCAACACATGATGCTCACGTTAGGCGAGTTGTAGACGTAACCGCGATATGAGTGCAGCTTCTTGATGAACGTCGGAGCCGCTGATGAAAAGCGATAACTCTTGGTTAAGCATGGAATCTATTATTACGAGAAATGTCGGACAATATCTATTTTATCACGTAGGGGAATAGAAGAGCTGTATGTTTAATGTAAAATGTCAAAATTGCCACGGGTACCGACATATGTCACATCGAGTATTATGCGAATTCAAATTTTCCAGAATACCCGAGTTTAATTTCGATGAGGATATACGTTTCGATTATTCATGTATGCATAACGGCGAAGGGGGAACTAAATTGTTTAAAACCTTAAATACCGCTGTTGATCTGGTTTTGAAATGTTGTTACGCAATTCGTTAAATTGCCGGTTATATGTAGTTACTGGGTGCATTGACATATGTCGCTTACCGGATACGTCGATAAACGTTGTGGCCGGGTCGCCGTCGCCGGCATCGTTGTAAGCCAGGCACGTGAAATTCGTCTCGGTTTCCAAATTAACCGATTCGATGAAGAGCGTAGCGTCGTTCTCGTCTGGAAGACGGTGCCAGCCGCGCAGCCACTTGAAGCCCGACACCTTCGGTCGTCCGGGATCCAAAACGAAGCAAGTAATAGATAATGGATGTTTCTTCACTACTTGCCGAGGTTCATACGTTATCGATGTCGGGCCGGGCTTATCTGAGGAAATATTTCAAAAATATACAGGATGCGAAAGAAAAACCAGAAAGAAAGAGAGGGAATGAAAACGGAGGAGAGAGACGGGCGCTCGCGCCAAATATAATCTGATTAATGTAATAAAACACGATATTGTTGGTATAACAATATCAAGATAAAACAATCGATAATTTATCGATATCATTGCTGTAATTAGCATCAAACGTAAACGAATACTTTTATAACGTTATTTGATATTGATGATAAAATTTTATATAAGAGCTTGCAGCTATGTAATTTATATAAAATCTATTTTAAATAATTTATAATTTGTGACAAATTTGGGATAATATTTCATTTATAATTTTATATCATATGATATAGAGGGAAACATTTAGAATATATTTAAAGTAAAATATGAGAGACATACAAAATCATGAATAACAGATCGTTGATGAATTATAGATTGTTTAAATTGAACTTGATATCACCTTTTTTTCCCCAAAAAAGATTCGTTGACAAATAATATAAAAAAAAAAAAAAAAAAAATTGCGTATGTGCGAGAGTACCTATTTATATCATCAAAATGTACATGTGAAGTTCGAAACGCGAATAATGGACGTAACGAATTACGATTCGGAACGCGTAATGGATATCTCGCCAACTTCTCTTCCATCACCGCATAACACGAATGACTGACGCGTGACAGAGAGGACTTACAATAAACTATGACAGGCGTGCTCGGAGAGATTGGTCCCCAGCCGGCCTCGTTTCTCCCCTCGCAGGAGTAGTTGCCGTGGAAGGTACGGCCGACAGATTCCAGCAGCAACTTGCTGGGGTCGATGTCGCAGAACGTCGACGATTCCTCGGTTGTCGTTGTCATGGCAGTGCTGTTTCTCGGGCAGTCCGGAAGTTCTTTCAATAGATCACCGTCCAAATACCAACGGACGGCTGTCAGCATCGCCGGATTACCGGCATTGACCTCACACGTTAACGAAACGTTCTGACGATCTGCCTCGTTCACAGGTGTTTCCGGATCCATTATCACCTCCACCACCGGTTTGTCTACATACGATATCATATGTGTATGTGCGTGATAAAAATTGGAATACACATCTGCGTCACATCGCGAGTATAAAACGGAATAAAAAAATATACGTCGCATGTCAAATTCTCTCTTCAACTTTATTCCCGATGTAATCGCGTAGCTTCGGATATAAAATCGTCGTGTTCTAATAGAAGAATACGTTATCTAACTGAAAGTTATGTCTCGAGAAATGAAAGAGGATAAAGTGTTTCTCCTTCCGATATTTAGATTCATCTGGAGCTTTATAAAAAGCGATTTAAAATTGTATCAATTTTTGGATTTTGTGATCAACTGCTCTATATTAGATACATTCAGGAATTAAATGTCGCTGTTATCCATCTTACGTAATACTTACAAAAGACCGAGACCTCTACGTCGTCCTCGGAAACGGATGAGTCGGCGCTGTTCTGCAGGATGCATTTGTAAGAACCCATGTCGCTAGGAGTTGCGTTTTTCACTGTGAGCGCCGTTTGTTCCGTGATACCGCCGTCGTAATGTTCTTCGTTTAATACTAATTCTTCGTCGTCTCGTAACCTACATCACCCGATTACGAGAAATAAAACGAAGATAGCGGCTATTTATTTTTTAGTAAGATATATAGAAATGGCGAAAATGTGCTAGTTTCTGCTACTAATTTATTTAATAAAACGAGCATATATCTAATTTCCTAAAAAAGAAAATCGATATCTGAAAAAATTAATTCACGTCATATATCTTTGTGTAGGAAGCTACTCACCACGTCACCTTTATCAGTGTAGCTGGATTCGCCTCGTAGTCGCAGAATATTAAAAAGTCGTCTGTCTCATTAACCGTTATATTGTTTGGCTTCATTTTGATTATCGGCGGATCTGCGACAGATAAAACGGTGAGGTCATTACGAGCGATGAAAATATGCGTGCAAAACTACGACGTAGTCGCAGAGAGATGAAGCATCTGTCGGAGAAAATTCGCGAGTGTAAAGAGAAAAGGAAAATATAGAAGATTAAATAAGTCTTTTAATTCCATCCGGATAATGACATCTCTTTTTCAAAAGTGCTAATAAAATCAAGGTGTTGCGAGAACATTTTCCATTTTACACTGCTAATTCTTCTAGTTGATATTTGTCAAAAGTAATTCAAGCTTTCTCAAAATCCTTTATTTCAACGGTACTTCTTTAATCAGTTTTCATTATTTTTCATTTTTCCCGTTTTGTGTAATAAAAGCTACTTTTTTTTTCCATTATTTTGACATCTCAAATTCTTTTATATTTACGATTGCCTTACATTTAAGATGTATAACGCGAGATTTAAATCGAATGTTAAATTTAGATTCGTCTGGGTCACATAATATTATGCACTTAACGTGCAGCAGAATGAGGGATATAAAACAAAATTCCCGTAAGAGAGTACGTAGAGTGCGAGAGAGTGGGTTGTCACAGTGCAAGCCAGAACGTTGGAAACGTGCCAAACTCAATGTCTGGAGTTTCTCGTTTCCAATCCATATGGGTAGTCCTCGTTCCGGCTGCAAAACGAAAGTTTCTCCGCCATTTCGCACTGTAACTGGAAGCATCAGGGAAATACGCAATCGTCTGTCTTCTCTTTTTGTTTGTTCCTCGCTCGCGTAATCAAGATATCGCATTTACAGTAGAAAAAGACGCAACTGCACTGACTTACGACCTGATTTCGGAATCAGACCATAAGTCTACAATGATCAAAATATCGATTGGAAAAATTATTTTAATATAATATTATTGCAAAATACTGGAGCAAAATAATCTTTTAATTAACTGGCATAATCTAATAACTAATAATTTTTCCTTTCTTTAATTGTGATTTTCAAATAGTCACTTTTTAATAACTGTAAATGTATTTTCGGATGTTTTAATGTTTGCAATGTAAATAGTTATAAATACGATCTTTTATTTCTTAACATATATATTTGAGATATTACGGAAATAAGATTATATCTTTTAAAAAATCACGTTATTATATCACGAAAAAATATAAAAGCATCCACGTAAGTAAGAGTTATCCATTTTTAATATATCGTGTGTTTCCCGAAGTATGCAATTGGAAAATTGTATAAACGTAGCGCGACTTATATGATCCACTCTTTTAAAAGAGCAACGTAAATATTTATGAAACGAGAAATATTTATTCCATTTTCGATTGCTCCTTTTGAACATTCGCTCTTGCTTCGATTTCTTCAATATAAATTGAAGTTTGGACGATCTCCAATTATATATCCTTATTTTTATTTTTTTGTTAAAATCACGATTTATTTATTTTCAAAACTTATTTTGCTTGGAAAGTCGGCGATTTTGAATAGAGATCTAGATATTCGAAGGTCTACTGCAAAGGGATGATATCAAGAATAAATTCTATTACAATCTTTGTTTTTGTCTGATTCCTAAAGGATTATACCTTTAAATTGCCTGTTTTTATTTGTATTGTGCATAAAATTTAATTTAATTTTCTTTAGAAGAAGATACAAATATTTGAATTTAACGGCAGGGTAAAGTTCTTCTGATTGCTGCAAAGTTAAATTAATTTACATAGTATTATGCTGATGAATGGCGCGCGCATGGATGTGTAGAGTTATTTATTTAAAGGATTTCGTTTATAAGAGCTAAGTGCATGCAAATGTTAATAACCGTCCTTGTGTAGCTTGCAGTTTCGTGTCGACGTAGCCTATATCCGATGCAGTATGTAAATGCGTGAGTTTGGGGTTACAACGCAATCTTGTTGCATAGTTTCAATGCTATTAAACATAATTGTAAGTATAAAATATTCCGAAATACGGTTTGTGTAGTTTATAATATTATTATTTATGAAAGAGATGAAACATTATTTTATGTTATTTTACACATGATCTAATTGGAACATTATTTTAGATTATTTTACACATGATCCAATTGCCTGCAATGCTATTAAATGTTTGTTTAAAACAGATCACGTTTCACTTTCCTTGAAGCGAAATTTTCATTTTGTTCAATTTTATTCAACATTATTTATTATAATATAATAAATAAATATATACTTATCTATTATATTAAAATTATAATAGTAAAATAATTATATAAATAAGATCATACAAAAAATATATGAAAGGATTGCCGGTAGCAATATTGGCTATCTCATTTGTTATTTTGACTCGTAATACTTACATAACACTTCAATCGTTGTCGTTTCCTTCATCGGCTTCAAATCCTCGATACGGGTAACAGAATTCTCAGCATAACAATTGAATGTTCTGCCATTGTCGTATACCGATGCCGTAAAAGCGAGATAACTTACTGTGTCCGATGTACCGTCCGCCTGCAAACGCAAGTTGTTTTAAACGATCCCGATAAAAATATAATGTCAAACTTTTATTATTTTATCAGTTTTACTAAGTTTTAATTAGAACAATATCTGTTTATGAAATTTCATGGGCACTACTACTGCGGCAGAATTATTTTTCGATTAAATCCCGTCGAGGATGTAATTTGCGTCATTTAAACCATCAATTTTATAACGATCAAATTGTTGATGAATAGCCATGTGTTGCATGTGTATATATGTATTATAGGTTTGTTTATAAAAGTAGTGTTTTTATCGAAGTACCAAATCTTTATAGAATGATGTGTTATGGAAAATTTAGGATACACACACACACACACACACACACACACACACACACACACACACACACACACACACACACACACACACACACACACACACACACACACACACACACACACACACACACACACACACACACACACACACACACACACACACACACACACACACACACACACACACACACACACACACACACACACACACACACACACACACACACACACACACACACACACACACACACACACACACACACACACACACACACACACACACACACACACACACACACACACACACACACACACACACACACACACACACACACACACACACACACACACACACACACACACACACACACACACACACACACACACACACACACACACACACACACACACACACACACACACACACACACACACACACACACACACACACACACACACACACACACACACACACACACACACACACACACACACACACACACACACACACACACACACACACACACACACACACACACACACACACACACACACACACACACACACACACACACACACATACATACTAGATTTTATATAAAATGCCATTTTATAAACATTTGCCATTTATAAATTTTATAAAAGAATCTGCAACACATACACACACATGAACATTTTCAATATACGATGCGAGTTAATGAATAAAAATTTTATAATATAAAAATAGAATGATAAGATTATTTTCGATATACTACGTAATGGATACTGTTAAATCTGTCAAAACAGTTCAAGACTAATTGGATTGCTAATTGGATAAATTGAGCTCGTGTATATTTATATATATAATTATTTATAAAAGAATCGAATTTTTGTAGAGAATAATATTTTGTAAAAGCTTGAATTTTTTTTATAAGATTGAATAAAGAGCCTGCAATATACATATGTGTATACGCATATATAAATTATGCGGATCTGCTGTTTTCAAAGAGCCAGAATTCGATAGAAGCAATCCAATTAATTTTGAACTGTTTTAACAGATTTAATAATATTCATTAACTTACGTCGTATATCGGGAATAATCATGTTATCCTATTTATATGTTATATAGATTTTTTAATCAAACATCTTTTATGAAAAAATACTGGAATTTAGTCAGTTCCCAATTTGTGAAACATAAAAGAACGCAATATTCAACGTTTCGTATAATTTTAACGATTCTGTAATTGCATGGTACAGTTGAAAATGTACTAATACGTCGACACATATAACGATGAAGTACAATTTGTTATCGTAAACGCGATAAAATTAATCAAATTTTGCGCCTATTTTCCTCTCTGAAATCGTGAAATAGTATGTTTCATTATTACTTACTTAATACATTAAAAATGATTACGAGGGAAACAAGATTATATTTGTCTCCAATAGAAATTATTATTTTAATAAAAAATAATTTTAATGAAATTTATATATATTGCAATAAAAATTAAATCTCTAAAGAAGATATATTAATAAATCTCTAAATTAGTATACTCACCCCCAATGATTTTAATTTTGTCATATGTTATCAGTTTCACGAATCTGCGTAATTTCCAAAAGATTTTAGTTGTTGGTTGTTGTTTATTAAAAAGTTATAAAAAAGATATTTATACAAATCAAAGTTTGAATGTAGATTGACAATGAAAAATTCAATATTGGACACAATTTATATAGATATTACTGTTTATACTACACACTCACTCAAACAAACATATAGATCTTTTCAAAAATTGAAAAATGAATGTATAGGCGGGGAAGTTTTTCTATATCGGTTTGCAACTTTTCACGGGAAGCGAGATTCATCCCATATTGCTCGGTGCTTTCAGTATAATGAGGTCTATAATTATATAATAATTATGTAAGTTTGTAATTTTATGCATATGTTAAAAAATTATATTTATCTTTATTTTTGAACCTCGCTTTGCATTAAAAGTTGTAAATTTATGATATGAATATTTAACTGTATAATCATAGATTTTCACATTGAAAGTATCGGGATGGGTTTTGCTTTGCGTAAAAAGTTGCAAATCCATATGAAGCCCCTTCCTTGTCTATATCCAGTTTTCACTTTCAATTTTTAATATTTTTGAATACCCTATATATAGTTCTGTGTGTTTGCTAGTATATGTGAGCATGTGTATATATGCATATGTATAGAGTATGAATAATAATAGCCCATATAAATTGTCTAATATTTACTTTTTTATTGTCGATCTACGTTCAAACTTTGATTTGCATGAATCTTTATTAGTTAACAACTTTTTAATAAACAATAAATCTAAAAAATGTTTTAAAAATAACTCAGACAACATGTGTCAAGGTTAGTAGGAGTGAGTATATTAATGTAGAAATTTATCGATATTTTTTATATTATAATTTTTAATTAACTATTTCCTAGAAAGATTTAATGTGTTAGAATCAAATGTTAGAATTTAATTCAAATATGATAATTTAACAAAATTAATAAATCTTGCAAATAAAACAGGCAACAACTGATTAGATAGACTTAACGTAGCAAAAGAGCTCGAGAAAAAATGTAACAATATATTTAATAAAATTAGAATTACACAAAAATGAAATCAATATACATATTTTTATAGCGTTCGAATAAATTTTATATTGCCTGCTCATTTTATTCTCTTTTTCTGAACATAATTTTTTTTCTCTTGTAAACCTATTAAGTAACTGATTCTAGTAAAGCTGTTCTGTATTTATTCCCCAAGTATGGCGCCGGTCGAGATTTGCAATTCATTAAAGCATATTAGAAAGAAAAGTATGGGACAATATTTGCTGCGAAATCGTGTAAAACCATCTGAGCACGTAAATATCCCGCTTCGCGGGACGAAAAATAACCAAGCTTAAAAATGTAATCCGCTTAATCCTGTTATGACGCAATGCTCATGTCGGTAGGAATTCATGGCATATAATTGCTCGCCACTATGCAAATATCGTCTGCTATCATGTGAAACGTCGCGAACGGATTTAGTCGCGCGTCGCCGCTCGTCCCGTAATCAGGCACTCAGTAAACAATGCTAATTATGATATTGCGATCAGGCGGAATTGCAAATGATAGAAATACAAATCGCAATAATGCTATCTATGTTTGGCGATACAATCAAAAACAATTCGTTAATTTCCCCGATGCGAGATGGTTTTTCTTCAAACAATGCTAATTGACAGTGCAAAATGAATTAAATTTGTTTCATACATTACATTTCGAATATTTATCTTTATGTTGATATTATTAAATAAATACGTTTCTTTATTTGCAAACATATTATGACGTAATATTTGATTTGCGCGCAAAGTAACAAAAGTTTTGTCGTTAATATGTAAATCATCGCGTTTGATAAAATCGTGATTTTTTTTATTATGTCAATTATGTTTAATGGATTTATTTAGAGAGTTTAACGATATACTTTTGTAATATAATTTTCCGTATAATATTCCTTATAATATTGGTTAAATATATGTATGCGCCGATGCAAGGAGAGCAAAGTATAAACGATGGACATGGACGTTTCTGTTCGAGGCGAGACAGCATTTTTTGTGCATAAAGAATTTTTTGTTATCGAGAAATCGCGCCGTTCCATCTACCTTATGGCCTTTAACTACGGTGACTTTTTTTTTGCACTAATTGCATCGCGCAGGTGCGAGTAGTCCCGTATGCAGTCATTTTGCGTGCATGCCACTTTATAGTCTCAGATATTTCCGTAATGGATTTATGATAGCTGCGTGACGCCTACGACTTCTATATGCCTGTACGTATACACGCGATAGCGCAGCGATATATAGAAAGCTCTAATGATTTTTCGATGCCGCCACCGTCGCCGTGCAGCTACTTGTTCGAGCACAAAATTGATTTTTTTTTACAAGCCGAGAGTAAAAGACTTAACGTAGCAAAAGAGCTCGAGAAAAAATGTAACAATATATTTAATAAAATTAGAATTACACAAAAATGAAATCAATATACATATTTTTATAGCGTTCGAATAAATTTTATATTGCCTGCTCATTTTATTCTCTTTTTCTGAACATAATTTTTTTTCTCTTGTAAACCTATTAAGTAACTGATTCTAGTAAAGCTGTTCTGTATTTATTCCCCAAGTATGGCGCCGGTCGAGATTTGCAATTCATTAAAGCATATTAGAAAGAAAAGTATGGGACAATATTTGCTGCGAAATCGTGTAAAACCATCTGAGCACGTAAATATCCCGCTTCGCGGGACGAAAAATAACCAAGCTTAAAAATGTAATCCGCTTAATCCTGTTATGACGCAATGCTCATGTCGGTAGGAATTCATGGCATATAATTGCTCGCCACTATGCAAATATCGTCTGCTATCATGTGAAACGTCGCGAACGGATTTAGTCGCGCGTCGCCGCTCGTCCCGTAATCAGGCACTCAGTAAACAATGCTAATTATGATATTGCGATCAGGCGGAATTGCAAATGATAGAAATACAAATCGCAATAATGCTATCTATGTTTGGCGATACAATCAAAAACAATTCGTTAATTTCCCCGATGCGAGATGGTTTTTCTTCAAACAATGCTAATTGACAGTGCAAAATGAATTAAATTTGTTTCATACATTACATTTCGAATATTTATCTTTATGTTGATATTATTAAATAAATACGTTTCTTTATTTGCAAACATATTATGACGTAATATTTGATTTGCGCGCAAAGTAACAAAAGTTTTGTCGTTAATATGTAAATCATCGCGTTTGATAAAATCGTGATTTTTTTTATTATGTCAATTATGTTTAATGGATTTATTTAGAGAGTTTAACGATATACTTTTGTAATATAATTTTCCGTATAATATTCCTTATAATATTGGTTAAATATATGTATGCGCCGATGCAAGGAGAGCAAAGTATAAACGATGGACATGGACGTTTCTGTTCGAGGCGAGACAGCATTTTTTGTGCATAAAGAATTTTTTGTTATCGAGAAATCGCGCCGTTCCATCTACCTTATGGCCTTTAACTACGGTGACTTTTTTTTTGCACTAATTGCATCGCGCAGGTGCGAGTAGTCCCGTATGCAGTCATTTTGCGTGCATGCCACTTTATAGTCTCAGATATTTCCGTAATGGATTTATGATAGCTGCGTGACGCCTACGACTTCTATATGCCTGTACGTATACACGCGATAGCGCAGCGATATATAGAAAGCTCTAATGATTTTTCGATGCCGCCACCGTCGCCGTGCAGCTACTTGTTCGAGCACGAAATTGATTTTTTTTTACAAGCCGAGAGTAAAACGGTACCATGTGATCCGAAAGTAAATGACGATTCCTTGTGACGCTCTTTCCTCTCTTTTTCTAAACTATGATTCCGTTTTATTTCATTCTCTATCATCTAATCTTTAAAAATTAATTTAAAATGGAAATTTTATTCTCAATGGAATTGAAGAAATTTAATTCCGTTCGATTTTTTCGAAATTTCTGCAAGCGTTTGCTTATTGATCGCGTGCGCAGGAAGCTTTTACGAAATAAATCATTAAAAGAATTTGTTCAACTATTCCACTCAGATGAAATCTCTTCCAATAAAAGAATAAATCATTAATAAATACCTATATACGAAAAAGAACGATCTCAAATAAATTTAGATTGCACCTAATAAAGACTAGATGTAACGCGAAAAGAGAAACTTCGAGAGATAACTATATTGATTGATCGTAAATCGTCGAAGTTGCTGGGTTCTAAATTTGTTGACTCCACCGCGTTTCTCGAAATAAAAATTTGCTGCACCGCAAAAATATTCAATATGAATTAAAATGTACGACAGGTACCGTCCCGATCAACTTCCCGGAACGGTAATTTCGCGAAGTTACCGCGTGAGTCTATCCATGTTCTCTCGCCGAAGTAAGTAAACGAATGAAAACTTTCGCGAATCGCTATTCATTGCCGCGTGCCATCAAATATGCTTCTTCGGAACATTTATTTTGATGCAAATGGAGGTAGAATCGATAATAAATTCAAGCGTCTTAAGAATTTACATTAGGAATTCTATACAAAGTATTAGTCGCATTTGGTGATAATGGGAAGATCTTTTTTATTAAAAACTAAAATTATTTTTTTTTTTCTATAAAAAGAAATATAATAATTTCTCGATTTTAACAGAATATTCTCGTAATTTTTGAATATTCTCGTAATTATACTTCAAATCAGGTTTGCGTCAAGATACTCTTGTAATTAACTGACAAGATTTAGTTATTCACTTGAAGATAAACTGATATAGAACAATAAATAGATTAGACCAACGATTCTTTTAATAACGACCAAAAAATTATCTTAATTAGAGCAGATACTCATTGGTTGTAACTGCAATATTCCGGTGTTTACTCACATTTTCATTTATTTTCGTCTCAAACATCTCGAATCTCTCGTTGCTCTCGCTTATATATTGCGTTCCGTTTTGCCAGGTCACGTTGGCGGCGGGTCGCGCTGCTTGTACCTTACATTGCAATAAAATCTTCGTTCCCTGCACGACATGACCAACCACTCCTTCCAAGTCCATCTTCAATGGGCGTACTGTAAAGATAATAGCAGTGTTAAAAGACCGGGACTGTTACTTGCTAACCGCAATGTCATTAAAACTTAAAGCACGACTAATGCCTTTATATCTCTATAACGCTAACTGCTTAACAAGAGTGTAGATATAACTCTAGATTAGCCTTAGATTGGAGAAAAGAAAGTTAAAATATGATATACATATATTAAATTACATATTCCGTGCAATTTTGTGTTCTAGTGATAGAAAGACACATTATATATATATATAAATTATTATTTCATACTAAATTCTTAATTTTTTTTTTATTAAATTTGTCGATTATTTTATATTTTTATCTTGGTAGCAATATTGCGCAAAAAAAGAAAACAAGTATATTTTTATATCGACGTGAGCTTAAAAGTTAATCAATTTTCACGCAAAATTATATTTTAAAATGAGTTATTATAGGCAATTTTTTATTAATAAAATAAATAAAATGGAACACAATTATTAATATTCAAAAGAGATTTTGAAACAAAACATTGTGTTGTAAAATACTCTACTCTTTTTCAACCTCTCTCTCTCTCTCTCTCTCTCTCTCTCTCTCTCTCTCTCTCTCTGTGTATGTATATTATTAATTCAGAAAAAATAAATAATTTGCTTTGATCATATTTGCTTGACTAATAAATATTTAAACATATTTCACTTAATATGCACAGTAAATGGAACTACGAAAATCGATTTATATTTAAATTTAATATATATTATACAATATAAATTTTTATCTGCGTTTCTCCTTTAT